TCAGCTGCTCAATCTCGCCGGGAAAATAGATCCTCTCGACACCGTGCATCTTGTCGGAACACACCACGCGCTGGTACAGAATATCCATGCGGTCCCTGAAGTCTTGCAAGCTCAAAAAGAGGTCCGGTTTGATGGCGACAAAGAAGTGGCCGACATCGCCCGGCTTGGACATATCGTACGGCCCGGTCACGCCGCCGGCAAAGGCAGACCCAGACAGCACTCCTGAGAAGACGTCCATCATGATGGCCAGGGCAGACCCCTTGGGCCCGCCCATGGGAAGCATGACGCCCTTGAGCGCCTGCTCGGGGTCGTCGGTCGGTTCGCCCTCGCTATCGAGCGCCCAGTCGGTGGGGATCTTCTGGCCGCGACGCAGGGCCTTGTGGATCTTGCCACGGGCTGCGACTGAGGGCGCCATGTCCAGGATGAAGGGCTTCGAGTTGTTGCCTCCCGGGGCACCGCATGCGATGGGCGAGACGCCCATCAGCTGAGTCTTGCCGCCCCAGACGGGCAGCGCCGGGGACGAGTTTGTGAACACGAGACTCATCATGCCGGCCTCGACGGCTTGGCGCACGATCCAGGCCGACATGCCAAAGTGATTGCTGTGCTTGACGCTCACCATGCCGATGCCGAACGTGCGCGCCATGGATATTGCCTTTTCCATGCCTAGGTGGGCCGCAGGGAAGCCGAAGCCATTGTGGCCGTCGACCTTTTCTCCCCCGAGTTCTGTCAGTCGAGGTTGAGGAGCGTCAGGGGTAAAAAGGGGCTTCAAAACATTGGAGAGTGACAAAAGTCCCAGACTACCTAGGGTAGACTCACCTGAGCAACAACTGGCGTGACCTCGGCAAGAGTCGGCTCGGCCCTTGGATCCAAGACGCCGTTGCGGACGCGCGCAAGGTACGAGGGAATCCGGTTGACCCCGTGGCTTTCCACGCCCCGGAGGTCGGCTTGGACGAGGCCTCGAGCAACAATCTCGGCGTTCTTCTTGGAGACCCCAGAAGCCTCGAGCAGCGCGACAACAAACTCGTGGGCGTCTTCTGGCCTGATATGGATTGGGTCTCGTGCAGCTTCTGCCATGGTGGGTGTCCGTCTGGGTCCGTCTTGGCAAGATAATAATGAACTGAAATGGAACAACACGCGTCGGTCCCCCGCCGCCGCCGGCCTGCACGTCAAAAGCTTCTTTCCGGCACCAGCTCGTCGGTAAACTTCTTGGCAAAACACACCCGCCTTTCTTGATGTCTCACAAGTGCCGGCGCCTTGAGGTCTTGGGCTTTTCAATGACTTTCTCCCAGCGCCACATACGCAAAAGACTTCTTGGCACACATCAATGCACACCACATGAAATCTCAACGTGCCTGGTTTAACAAATCTTAACGACCGTAAAGAGGGGGGTAGGTTATCATCCCGTCTTTCCTGCTTTTGCTGCATGTACAGTAGCATTGAACCCCGCATCTGACCACAACAGACTGGAGCACGCGGTGCAGCAGATCGGGGCTCACCGTTGCATGCAGATCGTGCAGTGCCTCGAGCGGAGAAGCTGCAGGCAAGAAGGGAGAACCTTGAAGCATGCCGCCACTGCCCTGCCCCGACTTATGGTGTTGAGCTTGATTTCCCCGCCCGCGGTGGCGGTCTGCCTTGGTCTGAGTGTCTCGTCTGTGAACGAATAATTCGTCTCATCCCTCATAGAAAGGCATTCCAGCAGTCAGTCGATATCGAAACCGGCCAAGACACTGGTTCGTGACTTTTTTTTTTTTTTTTTTCGATTCTTTCATGGCCGCCAGCTGCTTGACGCATTGTCACGGTGCCAAGGGCGGACTCGTGAGGAAGACAATCCTTTGTTCGTGGCTGCCCCTTTGACATTCCTTCCCACGGCCCGGGCTTTTTTCTACTGGCCAGTTCGGTGGAATAGAGCCGAGAGGCCACCGCTGAGCTCTAAGACAACTTGAAGACACCGCAAGCAAGGGGAGCTCCGTTCTTGGCACCCGGTCATTGGCATTTTGTTTTCCAACCATCTCGAGGATGGCTGCATGCAGCACAGAAGAACCCCCCTCGTCCACATCCAAACCTGGCAGGAGTAAGCTACGTGAGCGTGTGCCAGTGTACGCTACCGGCACTGGCTGAAGACCAGTGGAGCAAGGCATGAAATGCCAGCCATCCATCATGGATCCTTTGCCCATCCCGAGTCTTGCCTCGGGAATTCCATACTGTCTGTCCATCCATGAACCATGAACCATGAACGTTCGAACCATGACCGGTTCCAGCCTGGCCCATGGTTGCATCCCATGATCCAATATCATGGACACCACCACCCTTTCCGTCAGTATCTCCTCCTCCAGTCTCCTCAGCTGGTATTTGGGTCCCGATAGTTTGAGTTCCACAGCATGGCCGCACTCTACCTGATGTATGAAGTCCTGTGAAGGTTGCCCACCCCCCTCCCTCCCTCCCTCCCTCCCTCCTCCCCTCCTCCACTCCTCCATCATAAGCATTAACGAGGCCCCATAATCCAACTGTGCATTACCCCATCCCCCCATCTTCGGCCCCGTACGTACATATATACAGGTACACACTGGCACCAAATCTACCGTCCGTACTGCAAAACGTGAAAAAGATGGCGGGCGGCGCCGTCAAGAAACCGGTCAACATCTTCAAGCTCAGGAACCTGGACGAGCCCAGCCAAGTGTTCAACTGGCGGCTATGGTTCGCCGTCATCTCGTTTGGCCTGCTGGGGGCGGCCCGGGGCGTGGACGAGGGCCTGATCAGCGGGGCGTTCAACAGCAAGAACTTCCAGAGCTCGATCGGGTATAGCAGCTACACCAAGAGCGAGCAGGCTAACATCAAGGCCAACGTGTCGGCCATGGTGCAGATCGGCAGCGTGGCGGGCGCGCTGCTGGCCTTTGTGGTGTGCGACCGCATCGGGCGCATCTGGGCGACGCGCCAGCTGTGCGTGCTCTGGGTCGTGGGCATCGCCATCTTCATGGGCGCCCACGGCAACCTCGGGGCCATCTACGCGGGCCGCTTCATCGCCGGCCTGGGCGTGGGCCAGACGCCCGTGGTGGGCCCCGTGTACATCGCCGAGATCGCGCCGGCCAGCATCCGCGGCTTCTGCACCTGCATCTTCACCGGCTTCGTCTACCTGGGCATCGTGCTGGCCTACTTCACCAACTACGGCAGCCAGCTGCACCTGGGCGACGCCACGCCCAACCGCTGGCTGGTGCCGACCAGCCTGCACGTCATGTTCGCCGGGCTCATCTTCGTCCTGACCTTCCTCCAGTGCGAGTCGCCGCGGTACCTCGTCAAGCAGGGCCAGGACGAGCGCGCGCTGCGGGTCATGGCGCGCCTGCGCAACCTGCCGCCGGACCACGCCTACGTCGTCGGCGAGATGGGCGCCATCACACGCAGCCACCACGAGGAGATAGAGACCACCCGGGGCGCCGGCTGGCTGGGCATCCTGCGCGAGGCCTTCACGATCCGCAGTAACCTGTACCGCGTCGGGCTCACCATCGGCGCGCAGGTCATGTCGCAGTGGTCGGGCGCCGGGTCCATCACGCTGTACGCGCCCGACCTGTTTGCGCTCCTGGGCGTCACGGGCACCGACGAGACGCTGCTGGTGACGGCCGTGTTCGGCGTGGTCAAGCTGGTGGCGGCCGTGCTGTGCGCCCTGTTCCTGGTCGACTTCATCGGGCGCAAGCGGTCGCTGCTGCTGGGCATCGGCTTCCAGGCCGTCGCTATGGTCTACGTGGCCGGCTTCCTGACGGCCGTGCCGGGGCTGGGCGGTGACACCACCGACAATAGTTACACGCTCAGCGCGGCCGAGCTGGGCCCGTCCAAGGGCGCCATCGCCATGATCTACCTGTCGGGCTTCGGGTGGGCGCTGGGGTGGAACAGCATGCAGTACCTGCTGACGGCCGAGCTGTTCCCGCTGCGCATCCGCGCCTTCTGCACCTCGCTCGCCATGACCTTCCACTTTGCCAACCAGTACGGCAACTCGCGCGCCGTGCCCAACATGCTGCTGCCCGTCGCCGACGGCGGCATCTCGGCCCAGGGCACCTTCTGGTGCTTCGCCGCCGTCACCCTGCTGGGCGCCGCCTGGGTCTGGTTCTTCATTCCCGAGACCGCCGGCCGCAGCCTCGAGAGCATGGACCGCCTCTTCAGCCTGCCCTGGTACCAGATTGGCCGCTACGGAAACCGCGACGCCGATGCCCAGGACCGCGCCGCCTTTGATAGTGTGCATCATCTGGAAAAGGACAGGAGCAATGCGAGCAACGAGAGCAACGAGAGCAACGATAGTAGTAGCAAAGCAGCAGTGTGATTAGGTTGTTGGCCTCGACTGGGAAAGGGGCTAATTATTAGCTGCAGGGCAGTGGTTGGTTCACTGTCAGACGATGAAAGGCGGCCGGGAATCTTTTGTTTGTTTATTTAGTGTTGGTTGCGTCTTTGTGAGCATGGTGAGGGATGATGTTCCTGTCTTGTTGCACTCTTACGGTTTACCATTTTCTGATTGTTATGCTGTCATGTTCCGGGTTGTTGGTTTGGTTTGGTTTGTTTTGGTTTGTTTTTGTTTTGTTTTGTTTTTTTGACCCCTGATGTCTAATTACGTCGGTCTGATCTATCACACATATTCTCGGATTCTTACCATGGATGTAAATCATAACTATACAATAACAAAGGTACGGTTGATTGTATTCAATAATTGAGTGCCGTTCTTTATTAATGTTGAGCTCAACTTTGACACAAACGCGACAAATGGGATAGGGGTAAATAATTATGTGCCAAGTGATAAACAATAATGTCATTGTCCAAGTGCACTAAAAGTGAAAACTGCTGAGTATACGTGAATTCCATCAACGACAGCGAATTGCGTTGAGCGAGCAAGTATTCAAGAATGACAATTATCAGTTCCAAACTCACCTGAATGATAACAACCTCATGTTTCTTGACCACAGTGAGCGGGGAGCGGGACGTATCTAAACCTACATAGTGGAACACAATTTAACAACAAAGAAGCCGTTATAGTATAGTGGTCAGTACTTCCGCTTGTGGTTCCCAAAACACCAATCCCGCGGACAACGTAGGTTCGATTCCTGCTAACGGCACAAACCGTTTATTTTGTCCAGACGTCTGTCATCTCGTCACTTTATTTTTGTCTCTTATCCGTAGCACATACACCTCGAAACAAAGAACAGCAATTTCAGACAGATTCTTATCCAAGTGCGTTCAGTTGTGGAGCATGACAGTCGTTTATTGAGGTAAATATGTACTGCATGCAAACAAGATAAACAACCCCCCCCCCCCTTTTCGACTAGCCCTTATATAAACCGACTATACCACAGCTGCTTTCTCCCCTCGAACTCTTCACAGTACATACAGAGAGAACCACAAGACCCTTATAACTTACACACGGCTCCGCCGGGGCAGACCGTCATGGTGTGGACATATCTCAGCTTGCCCCCCTCGAGGCGGAACTCATGCGAGTCGGCCGCGTTCATCATGTGCTGCCACAGCAACAGGATGCTCACGGACCCGGCCGACTCGTCAATGACATAGCGGCGGTTGATGTTGGGCGCCTGGCTGTGGTTGCTCGGGATTCCGGGCTTGCAGCTGTCGGTCGGCTTGCCGGTGCCCGTGTAGGCCGAGCCCTCGAGCCGCACGCACGGCGTCCCCCACGGCACGGCGTCGGCTGCCGTGGCATTGCTCCACATGTCCAGGTACGCGTCGCCGGCGGCCTGGATGGCGGCCCGGGAGTCGTACTTGGCCTCGGGAATGGGGTCCCACTTCTCCCCCTGCACGTACTGCAGCGTCTTCTTGGCGTCGAAGAGCCACGAGTTGGTCGTCGACGCCACCGAGTCGATCAAGCTGATCTTGAGGTCGCCGGTGCTGTGCCGGATCTGCGTGCCGACGACATAGGGGCTCGACGCTCCGGCGCTGATGAGCTCCGTGTAAGTCGCGCAGACGGTCGTGTCAACGGTGGTGCGCCGGTGGTCGATCTTGAGCGCCTTGGCCAGCACGCCCTTGCTCGCGTCCGTGACCTTGTTGTTCTCTTGGTACGTCCAGTTGGCGCCCAAGAGCTCCTTGAGCGGTTCGAGCTTGCCTGCGGTCTGGGCGGCCACGTAGGCATCGGCGGCCTCGAGCAGCTGCGCACGCGTGCAGGCTGGAGTAGCTTGAGCAGCATCATGAACTGTGGGTGCTGCAAAGCCCACCTGGCTTGTGGCCGCGAGCACCGCCAACCAGAGTCCTAAGTTGTTGAAGGCAACCATCTTGAAGAAGTCAACAAGATTCTACGGCTGACCAAGTTGAAAACTTCCTTTTGGCAACGACGAAGGACAGGACTAATATTCCACGGGTGAAATAAGTTTTGGGTGGCTGACTGGATTTTGATCAAGTTGTTCACTTCCATGCTATTCATGGTGGTTGGGGAAACATACCCGCTTAATCCCAAGTGCCGTAATAGCTGAGGAGGGTAATATAAATTGAGCCGGAAGGCTCCTGTTCGCATTCATATCCTGCAATCTATAGACCCCGCGCGCAGGTCTGAGAAAACGGGAAACCGGCAGTTTCCCTCCTTTTTTAAGAGAACCATGGTGTCCGAGTTGAGATCCGGAGGCAAATATTGAATAAAACAAGACAGAAAGGGGGTTTGGAGTTCTGTCATGCAAAAGTACACGAGGGGGAAGAGCAAAAAATGGGGGGGGGCCAAAAATACATACAACACCAGGGATTCGCTGGTGGTCACCCACCCAACTACTAGTCTGGCGGTCGCTTGCTTATCTAGGGCAGAGCGGACGGGATGCCGAGTTTTCAAGTGCCTATGGTCGTATGTGTAAAACTATCATGCAAAAGGCACTCAAGGGGGTTGGTTGTTACCTTACCTCATAGGAAATTCGCAAACAACCTGGACGAAAGCAGCCTCAATACCGTCAGGAATCCATACGGTATTATCTCTCAGCATCACGAGCATTAAACAACATGATGCATTCATTCAATGCCGGCAAATCTACATCCTCAAGTGTGTATGAGCCGTCTAAACTGGTCCTGTCATGTTCACTAGGTACCTATTGTTCAGCCCAACAGGGCAAAAGCAACACCGACCCCAATACAACAACAGTGAACTTGAGTAAAATCACATTCCCACATGCAAATGTTAACAGAAACGCGCCCATGGCCATGAATTTGACGGACGACGAGACCAAATACCTTTCATCGCAGATCCAACGCCCGCCAAGCCTTAAATGCTACATCAACAAGATGCGAACGAAATATATAGAAAAGAAAAACAAGTCAAGACCGGCCGAGCCACACGTCAGACCCAAAACCTAACCGATTAACGCGCATGAGCGGCGATCCGGCCATGCCCAGAAACCCCCTTCTAGCCTCATGCCTGTCCCTATCCATCCCCACCGACCTTCTACCGATAAACATGCTCCGTTCAGTTGCGACCGTTACCAGAAACTGCACCACCCTATGTAGTGCTGACAAAGATTCTCGAGCTTGGTTGCTTCGATAATCAGCTTATTGACCTGGTCTGTGACGTTCAGCTCGTCGTCCGGCTTAAAGTCACGGCCCGTGAGCTTGAGCGAAACACGGTCGAGGACTTCGACGGCTCTAGCGTTCTGTACCTCGGCCATATCCTGTGGCCCGTTGCCGTTGCCGTTCGTCATGCTGGTTCCCGGCTGCACAGCAGATGAATTGGTGCGGGCACGAGTGCGCGTCCCCGCTGGAGCCCCGGCCAGGACATCGACACCCTGCGCACCAAGGAACTCGCTTGGGAGAACGGGCGCATCGAGTATAGACGGTCGGCGAGCTCGTGGCGCTTGCCCGCCTATGAGGGCTTGCTCCCGCTCCGAGTTGAAGTTGGGCCCCGGCGGACTGGCCGGGTTGGTGAGGCGCCATGTGAGCAGCGGGTCATGAATAAACTGAAACCCGAAAACGTTAGTCTCGAAAACCTCACGAAACGATCATAGAGCGAGCTGTTACTTACGGCTTCAAGGACCGCCATCACACTCTCCTTGTTGTCACGCAACACCCTCATCACATGCTCGCATGTTGTGCGGAAGCTGCCCTCGATGTTGCTGACCTCCATCGCGTATGTGAGCATGCGTGTGAGTCTGAAGGGCACCCGTTCAGGGTACTTCTCCCGCTTCATAGCCACCTCGAAGCAGTCGCCAAAATCAATGTGGATAATCTTGCCAGTGATGCGGTCGAGCATCAAGTTGCTAGGATGCCGATCGCCCAGGCCAAGGATGTAGCCCACCATCGACATGACACCGAGAGAGCGGGTGTAGTTTGTTCTCCTGTCCAGCCAAGCCTCCGAGCTCTTGCTCTTCAGCCACAGCACACGATACAGGTCCTGGCCCGTGGTGTTATCAAGTGCGTAGCCAAATACTTCAACCTTCTGCATCAGCGTAAGGTTGTCGTAGTCCGGCGCCATCTGGAGCATGATCCTGTGCTCAATATTGAGCAGAATCTTTCTGGATTCTCTGTACTCGCGGATGAGCTGGTGCACGGTATCACTGTTCGGGACCCAGCCGAGGAGTCCAGAGTTCTGAGACAGGGGTATCGCAGGGTAGCGCTGGATGTTGAGGTGCCGCTTGTACGACTCCGAGTCGTTCGACAACAGGGTATTGCATAGACCGAAGAGCTGCATGACGCGCTCGTCTTGGCGAATGTCCTCGTGGCCCTTGAGCAAGAAGGTGTACGTCTTGCCGTCACTCCCGACAATGTCCAGCTTCCTGGGCCGCTGCTTAGAGCTAATAACGCTAAACGTGACATCGAAAGACATTATCCTCACGATATCTTGTCCGCTGCGGTATGTTCCAGGAACTGCGAGCTCGAGATCCTTGGCGCTCAGCAAGTTAGGCGAGCAGTAGGTTAGCTCGAGCGACGTCATCTGCGGCAGCTGCCGGCTGATGCGGCGGAATACTTGGTAGTACAGATCCCAAGCCTGGTTGAGGTCGTTCACATCCTGGCTCTCCTGGTATTGGCGGCACCACTCCCGAGCCTCGCTGAGGTCTCGGCCAAACGTCTGGGCAAAGGAGACCTCCCTAAGAGTCTGCGGGCCGCGCTCGAGAAGATCGTGCAGAGGCTCGAGAGCGGAAAACATGCCCTCGATATTGTGGTCGCCAAAGTAGAGCCGCGAAGCTTCCTCCAGTCCTTCGTGCCACAGCTCATGCCACAGGACGGCAACCCGAATCAGTTCCTGGCTGACAATTTCGGCTTGCTCCACGAGCCTCGAGCTATGCTGGCGCATGCTATCCATAATCTGAGTGGCGCTCTTAACCCTCCTAGAGTTATGCCAGGACTTCATCGCCACCGTCAAAGGATAGACCAAGGCCTGGGGATGTGCACGCCCGACGTCAGCCAGCAGATTGTGGATAGACTGCTGAACACGCCTGTTGGGCTGGTTGATACGAGCAATGAGCTGTGGAATGACTTCGAGCCAGGTGTCGACACTGACACGCGTAAACCCCTCGGTAACAGCAACGTTGACCTCGTTATGGCCGCCGTGCGTGAGCCACAAAGTCAGGAGGCGAAGCGTGTCCTGTAGAGAGCTTCCAGACGAAAGGGCGATGGACTCGAAGAAGCCGCGGACAGCAGGGACCACGTGTTGCACGACAATGGCGTGTTCGGTGCGGTTGTCCTGGGCGGTGAGGGCCTGGACGACTTCAAAGTTGGCAAGAGCCCAGGCGTGCCACGCCTTGTACCACTTGTTGTGATACTGGGTGGCCTTTGCGTAGCAGTTGAGGACATCCTGGCGCTGGGTATGTTGCCAGTCATCCTTGTTCAACGATATTAGCCACTCGCCCTGGCGGAGGTAGCACTTTGCAAGCAACACCGTCTGCTCAACCCAGTGTCTCTGCGCACGAGGGTTCATCATGTTCTCGTCAAAGTCGGGGAATCCGGGCTGGTTCTGACCATCCACCCCGTTTGCTGCTTGGGCATTCAGGTGCATCCGAGAGCTCTCGACGCGATGCGCCGTTTCGTTGGTGAACTTGCGAAGACAGTAGAGGGTCTTCTCGGCGATGCGGTGCTCTGAGCTTCGGACTCCCGGTTGCTGTCCGATCTCCCACTGGAACTTCAGGACTGCGTACAAAATGGG